GCTCCTGTGGTCGGGGCTCTTCCAGAGTTCACCCTTTATCCTTTATCACATCATTTAATAAATTTGTAAATGTGTTCCCCAAGTTCTGTGAGCTTCTGTAGCAAATTATTGGAACCCATGGAAGGGCATGGAGGAACTTTGGATTTATAGCCTGTTTGTTGGAAGCACAGTTGACAAACTGGATTTGAGATTGACAGGTGAAATAGAGACAGTCTTGTGGGACTAAGCCCTTAATCTATAAATTGATGCTATCTTTAGGTAGATGATATTAGAATTAAGTTAGAATGTAGGACACTCAGCTGGTATCACAGAATGTTTTGGGGTGGGGAAACCTCAACTACATTTGGTGAATAGAAGCATCATTTGTACAGTGTTCTGTGTGAAAGCAGAGAAAACACACAAGAGGAAACACTACCTTTTTTCTCATTCAAACACATAAAAATATCTTGGTAAAATGGACCTTGTCTTTGAGCTACCAATTCCCTTACAAAACTTTTGATTGTAAGGTTTGTGAAACACTTGAACCAGATACTGAGCAGATGTTTAACAGATATTTGGGTCTACTTATTCCTTATAACAGTGACGAACAAGCCATAAAAAATGAATTTCAATAAGTTTGGAGAATATATATAGTGTTCAGTTGATAAAATATAATCCAATCCCCTTTGAAGTTCAGTCTGATAGCACTGGCCTCCTGATGACTAGCGTGAAATTAAATCTCCCCTGAAGCCCTCTCTGTTTACTAAGTTAGAAGTTATCACAGAGCATGTTTTGGGACATCTCCTACCACAGAGTACCAAAGAGTAACATTTGTCCCCCTGGAAGCAACAAAGTGCCTGCTGAGAGTAGGCTGCTGAATGAATGAATTAATGGTATAACATAAAGTGAATGAGAGTTCACGTCAGGAACATCTGGGTTTTATTTTCATATGTAGTAGTATGTCCCTAATTAAATAATTAACATAACTGATGAGAATAACATTGCATTACAGTAAGTACTTTTAGTCTGAATCTGTAAACCTTTTAAAATTTTAAGTATATTTTGAGTAAATTGTGTGCAGGTATGCGTAAGTGTGTATTTGAAGTGGGAAGATGCTTGTGACCTTTAGTTTTTCAAAGGGATCAATGACTTGGAAAGTGTTAAGAAACACTTTGTGAAGAGTTGCAGAATGTTTGTTTAAAAGTTTCTGTACTAAAAAATAGTACCCCTAATTATTTTATTACTTTTAGATCTTTGCTAGCTAGATTATCTATGTGTGATAGAATGAGCTTGCCTTATACAAAAAAATAAAAGAAAAAGAAAAAAGGAAAAAGAAAAACTTCCCCTTACAACTGTTGAAAGTTTTGAGCTGTTTGTAGAACTCCACAGGTTTTTCTTTTTTAGACAGCAAACTTTTAAAGTATTCTGGAAGACAGAGTTGAAAAGGTCAGGCATCTTTAGCAATCAAGGGACTTGGATAAGGGATTGGGTAGTGGTAGTAGGGGAAGAGTAAGTTTGCATTTTAAGAGACTCCAGCGGAGATCTTCCTGTGCAGCTGGTACCTGTTTTCCCCAAGCCTCCTTAGAAACACTTTCTATGCACTGCTAGGTCTGGCAAGGCTTATGAGCACATGGAGGACCCTGCTCTGTCCTTTTAATGTCCCTTGGATATGTAATGGTGTCCTTACTTTTGTTTCTGATGTTAGTGATTTCTCTCTTATTGTTTTTTTCTTATTTAGCTTGACTAAAGTCTTATTGATTTTATTGATGTTTTCAAAGAAGCAGATTTTGGTTTTATTGATTTTTTTCTATTGGTTTTATATATTCGATTTCATTGGTTTCTGCTCTAATTCATCATGGTGTATCTTTTACAATTTAAATAGGGTTGATAGGTTCCTGTAAGGCAAGCAATACCTCTCATCCTTTCTTCTAATCATTTTAGATGAAGCACTTAACTTCTCTGTGACTAGGTTTCTTTATCTACAATTTGATTAGGATTTGGTTTGGTTATTTAATTGCATATTGAAAAGTTATAATAAAAGTCATTTTATGTCACTACCATTTGTCTGTGCCAGCTAGCTTGTGCAGCAAAACCTCTTCATTCTATTGTTCATGAGTTTACATTTACAGTACATACTATGAACCTTATATTGATGTATAGGAGAAAGTATGAAGAGGTCTGACTTCATTTGTTTACATGCTTAGTTATTATACAGAGTCCAAGGAGAAGGTTGTCAATGGATTATCTGGTTATATGAATGATTTGGAGGCTTATTCTTTCCTTTGTTCCAGAAAATAAGCCCACCTTTGTAACTCCATTTCATTTGATCATACTGTGTAGGTATTTAATGAACCCTGGATCAAGATAACTTGTGACTCTCCATTAACTTCAATGTGCTGTTACTTTATTTAGAACATTTATGTAACAGTGAACATATCCACATTTAATAAGTATCATAACAGAAACTTAAATTATTATGCACAATAATTATGTATAATAATTCTCTTGCCCTAATTCCAGCCCAGTTTTATGGTACCAGCCATCTTCTGTATACAAACTATGAAGCTTAGGATATTAGCAGCTTGAAAAACTGCAGGACTGAACATACTGTTCAGCTCTTACATCTTCATTACAACTGGAGGAATTTCTTTCAGGTTCAGGCCTTATAGAAGTTTTTATTAAAATATCTTTGGAAAATTTATGTTTCACCTAGTCTGCTAAGATTATTTAAGTTTCAAATATAAATAAAATGTTGTCACATACCCGATTCATTGGATCCTGAATATGTATATTATGATCTTATTTAGAAAAAATATGATAAAAATATATTTTAGATAATATAATAAAATTTATGGATTTAAAATATACATGCTATCATAATATGACACATTGTCATTGTGTAAATTTTGGCTGTTTTACTTTCTAAATAGCTGGTGTTCACTAAGACAAAAATGTATGCTAATTTGCTTTTTAGAGTTATAACCTTTCTGTCTGGTGGATCTTTATATTACTAAATTTTTGGTTATAATGAAACACTGTCTGAAATAAATAAAATAATCATTCAATTTCAGGTATATGTGTCATACACACTTTTTGATAGTATTATAAGCTAGAAAATTCTGGTTGTTTCATTTTTATCCCACATTTTATTTTATGTTGTGGCCAATAAATTTCACATTTGTTTCTTTAATTATGAAAGTGAGTCAAAGAGGGTGCAATGGTAAGAATTATTCCAATTCAGAGCAGGTTATGAAACCACTGGAGAGCCATTTGCACTTGGATTTTGGACCTCCGTCTGTGCCCATCCAGGCCCAAAGGCAGCTGGGCAGCCTGCTGGACAGGAAAGGAACACCCTAGGTAACCTTTCCAGAAAACAGCTCTTGGCCCTGAATTTTTACTCTTAAATCAACTACTGTGTTTATATATATTAAAAAAATTGACATTGTTTTAAGAATGAGGTAGAATCTTGAGAAGCTGTTGCTGAGAGTGTAGAGAGATGAGAGATTCTTATTTCCATTTCTGCTTAGGCCTACCCTATTGTGCAACCCTTTAAGTGCTTGTTTCTGATTTCTAGACTGGTACATTAGTTGTTTTCTCCTCTGTACTCCTGAGGTACTCTGTCCGTGTGTCTGTTAGAGCACTCATCAATATGTACCGTTATTTAAATGTTCTCCCTCTGGGCTCTAAACCCCATTAATGTCAAAAGCATGTCTTGTTCATTGACTTATCTTTATGCTTTTGGCAGTGACTGGAAGAGAGTTTGTTTTGTCCTTGTAAATCCTGGGTGTCTACATAATTAGTGAATAATGTAGATCCTTTATTATGGATCTCTTAATTGGATCACAATAAAATGTTCCCTAAATTATACATTTTTTTCTCTCTCCAAGGGTTATTTACCCTCAGCGTACATATTTCTAGTTATCTGATCTTCCTTTTAATATTTTAAAATTTCTTTACTAACATCAGTCTCCGGTGTCTAAGCACTGCATTGCAAATAAAACATACGGAAAAACATATTTTTACAGAGTTTGTGTTTTAAAGCTTATTATTGTCAGAAACTGTATTCTATAATCCTTGAAGGATATATATGACAATAGGGCCTGGGCAGTTCTTCAGACACCAGTGTTGTAATGGTCTGTGCTATCACTCCATGGGGTTAAGTTTTGCTAATCCCTGTTAGCTATACCCATGAGGTTGTCATTCCTTCTCATGCTAATTTATATTATATCAGGCATCTTAAATTATTTACTGCAATTGTGGTATCAAGAAGTACCTGCTATTATTTATTATCATGTAGAATCAGACATCTGTATAATTTTTTGTTGCTGATGAGGCCTCTAAAATCTGACAATCCTAGTATGAATTACTACCATTTAAAAATGGCTGTATTATGACTGATCCCTAAGAATCAAACACAAACAACTTAAACTTTGAAATCCTAAATACAAATAGCACTCATGAGCTTGTATTATAAAATTGGAGTCATTATTCAGCTAGGTTGGAGATATCTATTCCTGAACAAGATACCAAGACAACTTGCTTCTAAATAAAAGGCAGAAATATAGTTAATTTTTTTTTCATTTATAGGTACAGGTATAACTGTACCTATCTTTGATTCTCATATTTTAGTAAATTCATACAAAGTATCATTTAAATGATGTTTTAGTCAGTTTCCCTTTTGATGAAAGCGAAGCACCAGATCATCAAAGGAGTTCCTGTTTAGAATCTATATGAAAAGTATCTTGAATAAGTCATTGGATTCATACTGTGATGTTAAATTATTGCTTTGATTTACAAAGTAGTGAATAAATTTTACAGGAATATCATTCATGCACAGCCTGCTGCTAAGGATAAAAAATTCTTTTCTGGTAACTACGTAATGTAGAGTAAAAGGATTTGACTAGGCATTGAAATGGAAACAATAGCAAAACTTAAACTTGCATAGCTGAGCATATGGTGAGTTTTCAGAGAAGAAACAAGTGATTTTGAGAGTATGGCATCTTTTAAAATCATAATTTCAGTTGGCAGAGAAAACCCAATGGATATGTCTGCAACACCTACCCAAAAGGAGGAAAAGATCCAGGAGTCAAAAAACCAACAAGAAGTACCACCAGAATCTGAGGCCAGAGCTTCCTTGCTTTCTTCAACTGCAAGTAAGCAACAGTTTTTTTTTTTTTTTCCTTCTTTTGGTTTGTTTGCACTGATTCTTTGTGGACAACCTCAAGAATAACACCAAATTATTTTTATAATATAGGTTACATTATACCACATGAATGTGCTTTTAAGCTGCTATCCTGCTTTTTTTCTGCTTTGGTTTTTACATTGCAAAACCCATATATTTAAAAATGTTTATTTCTTTACTTTGAATTCAATGTTACTCTTGACCAATGATTTGAAAATAAGGTAACATTAAATTATGACATCATATTGGTCTATCATCTGTAAAGTGTCTTATGAATATATTTGATAAATAACAGGAAATTCTCACCAAAGTCTGAACGACAACAAAAATAATCTCCATTTCTTTGGTATAGAAACTGAGGCATCAATAAGGTACTCTAGGCCTCAGAGGTTTGAATTTTTAGTTTGTATTCTTAGTCTGTTTGATCATTTTTCTTCCTCTTAAACTTCTATCTGACCAGGAGGTAGAATGAATGATATCTGACAAATTCTGTACATCAGAATCTAGTCATTTTTGGGTAAACTGACATAGTGACCAAAGTCTCTGAACCATTTTTAAAAATCTATCTTGAGAAATAGATAAATTATAATGTTACCTTTAGAAAGTGCTTTTTGAAAATCAGTATTAAGTGTACTCTCTTTTTTTTCAGATAGTAACAGAAAATAGATGTCTTCTGCTGAAAACCCTATAATACACTATTGTATCAACCACAGAAAAGAAAAATTAGCCTTTGGTTTTTGCTGTATGGTCTCGGGCCAGTTTTATATTCCCATGCCATGTCATGAATCCACAGAGCAGTGGAACAAATCACACTGCATGAGAATCATGTGCTTAGTTAAAATTTTTTACAGAAAGAGAATTTAATCATGTGTCAGGAAATAATGGCACCTCAGTCTGGGATGGCTGCCTCTAGTAAAATTTGACTTGGCTGAAAATAGCATACTAGCTGAAATCTCTGGGAGTAGATACTTTTTTATGAGTAACAAAATGTTTAAGAGAAAATCTATATATCTTATGAAAATTTGTTCTAACAAAAACATTTTTAAAAGTGTTACCATTGTTAATGATTCTTTTTTAAATTTAAGATTCGCAGTGTGTTGATTTGATACATTTCTATATTGCACTATGACTGCCATTATAGGGTTAGCTAGCCCTTCTATCATGCCACATAATTACCATTTCTTTTTTATCATAGGAATAATTAAGATATAGTCTTTTAGTAAGTTTTTTGTTTATGTAAGATTGTTATCTACAATCACTATACTATACCTTAGATCTCCAGGTCTTATGTCCAGTAGTTTCTCTCCCACTCCCAACCCCTGCCCTTGGTAACAACATTTTATTCTCTGTTTTTACAAGTTTGGCTTTCTCTTTGATTCTACTACATATAAGTGATATCATACAGTATTTTTCTTTGTATATTGCTTAGCATAATATCCTTAACTTTCATCCATGAAACTTGAGGTGTTGCATATTGCAGAATTTCCTTCTTTCTCATGGCTCAGTAATATTTCTCTATATACCCAGAAGTGGAATTGCTGGATCATATGGTAGTTCTATCTTTAATTTTTTGTAAAACCTTCACAGTGTTTTCTATAGTGGCTGAACCCAATTACGTTACTACCAGCAGAGCACCAGGGTTCTCTTTTCTCCACATCCTCACCAATCCTTGTTATCTATTATCTTGTTGATGATGACCATTCCAACAGGTGAGATGTGATCTCATTGATTTTGAATTGCATTTCCCTGATGGTTAGTGGTGTCAAGCACCTTTTTAATAACTTGTTGGCCATCTGTAGATCTTGTTTGGAAAAATGTCTATTTAGTTCTCACAAAAACATAAGGTTAAAGACAGGTAAATTAGATGAAGGAATCATTCTGGGCATGCTAGGCGCAAAATAAAATTTGTCATTAATTTATTGTAAAAAGACATAATTTTTTAATTGTAGCTAATAGTAATACAGTAGAAATGGAGAGTGGACCAAAAACTGAAAAGAAAGACTGAACTTGATTAATTAAGCTGTTTAATTTATTAATTAAGCTATCTGAAGCATTGGTATAGTGTATACTCTGTCTTTGGACATTAATTCCTGAAAATCTAGATGGTAAAGCTTTTCTAATGCAAATATCACCTGCAAAATGATGATGATTTGCTTAAATTTTGCCTTCTGTGATTTCAGTAGAAATGGTTTTTATAAGCATCCTTCAGGTGGGAAAAAATGTCTTCATATATTAATATTACTAGGAAGACTGAACAATTAGATCATAACTCTCTTTAGCTGTCTTCTCTCTACTTCTGTCAAATATCTGCAGTAATGAAAAACTATTTCTTTGAGAAATACCTCCCTCTTTGTTTTGTGATTTATCTGTCATGCTAGGTAGATTTGGGTTACATTAGCCATTCATATTAAAATAAATTAGTTGAAAAGTACTTTAGAAAACTTATTTTTATACTGTAAATACATCAAAACCAAATGTTCATTCCTGAAGAATGAGATGTGTTTGTCAGTCTACTTTTGGGATAGGGCAAGATGTATGTAGCTTGGGGAATTAGAGATAATAAACCTATTATCCTCATATATTAGGAAAAAGAGATGAAACTTTTCATTTACATCAAAGGGAAACAAACATCTAGAACTTATAATACAATATATACAATAAATAGTGCTTTTGTAGTAGTGAGTAGAGGTCATTAACTTTGCAAGGTTTTCCTTTAGGACCAAGTTGAATGTTGATGCTAGTTTTGTTAGGGAGAGTTTGAGAAAGGAATCTTATTTTTGGTAAGGAAAAATTTTAGTTATGGAAAGTTTAAAATATATATAAAAGTAGGGAGAATCAACTAATCAATCCTCATGTATATGTTACTCAGCTTCAAAAATTTTCAATATACTGTGGTACCTCAGTACTTGTTAATTTGTTCAGGAACTCATGATGAGTACCAAAACCCACAAGCACTGAACAATGAAGCATTTTCTTCTGTGGGGCAATGTGACTCTTACAAGTTCTTACAAGTGCAATGAGTCCCGAGCAAGTGCTGAGTGCTGAAATACTTTTTCTCATCAAAATGTGACGAGTATAGGATTTGATGGGTTCTGAAGCTTATGGGTACCAAAGTGTGACTGTATGCCTAATCTTGTTCCCATTCTGTTCTTCGCACTATGCCCCATTCCATGCCCATTGGATTAAAGCAAATCCAAGGCAATATATCATTTTATTCATAAATGCTTTTGAGAATCAGATTTTAAGAATTATTAAAATGTTTGGGATATAATTTTAAGTTTGGAAATATTGCATCTAAAAACATTGGAACCAAGAAGACAAAATTTGATGATCTGAACTGAGTTTTTTCTTATAAGTCTTCACTAAAACCTCTTATTTTCACTAATGAGAAAACAGGCTCAGGAAGGTGAAAGTAGTTGAAGCCTCAGCTCTGAATCGAGGCAAGTCTGCTCTGTGCGTGGGAATGTGAGCAGAGCAGTGCAGCAGTAATAGCAGTCCTTTGTCCATGGTGTCTCACTGGTGTTGCTGGGAAGGCCTAATGTGTGCCAGAATCTCAGTCACAGAATATTCTCTCTTTAAACGTTTTAGATGCCAATTCTTTAAGAACCAAAGATACCTGAGCAAAATAATATGAAATCTGTTATCATGTTGAAATCTTCCTTAAAGACTGGGTCACAGTGGATTTAGTTTATTTTGGAAAAAAAAAAAACAACACATGAAACATAAAGTAAAAACTTAAAATTATCTTTTCTTATTGCCCTCCAAAAAGTATTTTAAATATTCATACATATTTACATACATATGTATAAATACACACATATATAGGTTACATTGGGTATAAAATTTTATAATCTACTTTTAGTTAATAAAAGTAAACATTATAAGCATTTTTCATAACATTAAATACTATTGGACATTATTTTTTTCAAAAATTGTTCATGTATAACTTGCAATGGACACTCATCTATAATTTTGTATTATTTATTTAGAATAACTCTTATAAATGAAATTTCCAGGTAATGGATTATAGTAATTGTTCTTCTTGTTCTGAAATTAATGTTTGTTTCTTTTTAATATTAAAAACAATAGCACTCAGAATCTAGAGTAAAGTATAGGTTTTTTGGGGTCATGCTATTGTAGTACATTAAAACGTGAAAGTAGTATAAGTTTTCCTTTATCATAGAATAAAGATTTGAAGAGAACTTGATCTGGCAAAAGCAATGTAGAAGTTCACCTGAAAATGCAGTAATAAGCCATTCCATTTCATATAATCTTAATCACTTGAACATACCTTTCAAAGCTGAACAGAATACCTACTCCTTTTAAATTCTTTTGACCCCTAAAAAGTTAATATCCTCTTTTATAAACTAAACCTTGTTAATTTTTCTTAGTATACTCTCTTTTCTTCTTAGAATATTCTTCCTTTATATAAATATGCTAAAAAGTTGATTAGTGTTTCTTTTTAACATATTCTCTGATTTCAAATTTATTTTATAGTTTCCACCAATGTATATTTTTAAATTACTTTATGAATATTTCTTTTATTTTTATGTATTTATTTTTAAATTTTTGAATTTAAATGATTTCCATTACAATTTACATACAATACTATAATAGTTTCAGGTGTACATCCCAGTGATTAGACATTAAACAACTTACTATGTCATCATCCCAATAAACCTCATATCCGTCTGACAGCATACATAGTTATTACAATATTATTGACTATATTCCCTATGCTGTACTTTATATTCCTTTGACTATTCTGTAATTACAAATTTGTACATCTTAATCACTTCACTATTTTCACCCATCCCTGGAACCATCCCTCCCACCTGGCATCCATTAAAATGTTTTCTGTATGTATGGGTCTGTTTCTTTTCTGCTTGTTCATTTATTTTGTTTTTAAGATTTAATTGTTGAAAGATATGTATTTATTGCCATTTCATTATTCATATTTTACCTCTTTTT